AGTGGACTGCAAACCTCAAGGTCTCCAGTTCTAGCCCACCAACCTCTTCATGAGAGAACTATGAAGTTTTCTACTCCTGCAAAGATTTACAGCCTGGGCAATCCTATACAGGGTTGCTCAGTGAGTCAGAACTGGCTTGACAGCACTTAACAATAACAGCAACAATACATATTTGTTTTGTTTTGACAAGAATTTTCCCAGCAACGTTTGTGCTATGTAAAGTAGGATCATTCCACAGATGTTACAGAGCTGATCCGTTTAGATTGCTCAGATTTGTACTATAAAGTTCAGTCACAAGTGAAAGCTTCAATGTCAGTGACAAAAACTGGGGTAATTACTGTGGTGGTTCAGTGAATTACTTCATATGTAACTTCTACTTCCTGTGGCACTCCAGCCAAACAACTTTTTATATCCTGATTGAATCTGGGTAAGAGAAAGTGGGGGAAGATGCTGATAGGATCCTATGGTTCCTTTGTGAGTGATTGTTAACAGGGTTAATTGTGATTAAAAAAAAACTTGGAACAGTAACATGGCTTTATATATAATAAGCCATCTTAGAAGTTGTTGTTGTCTCAGAAGTAGGAGAGTGGAATCTCATTGTCATTAAAGAAGAAGAGCCAGGAATGGAATGTGTCCTTTGGACCTCAAGATCTGTTGACATGGAACCTCCTTCACCTAAGGACAGAAATTTACAACACTGGAGGAGGAACAGCCCACTGGAGGAGGAGCACCAGAGAGAGTGGGGGCTTCCCAGCCCATGGTGCAAGTAAAACTGAGTGCCTTGGGGCATGAGGCTCAATTTTGGAGCATGGTGCCTGCAGGCACTTAAATTGGGGAGCAAGGTTTGCTGACCCTCAGAGGTAGAACTGAGTACCTTTGGATTGGAGTTATGTAACAGAGCGGAATGCCCTTTGGGTGTTTATCAGCAGAACTAAAGGAGCTTGTTAACATTGCCTAAGCAGGCCAGAGACCAGAGAGAGACCTGCCCACAGGCACAGCAGAGAAGAAGCTGTTCAGACTGGGAGGATTGTGTGACGTGAGCAGTTCCAACCCTGAACTGTACCCTGTTAACACCACGGAGCCATGCTGTGGCACTGTGGGATCAGCATTGGACCCACAGCAAGGTGGGTTTAAACTGCAAAGTCGATGCTTCAAATTCACCAGCTGCTCCTCGGAAACGCTATACAGGGTGGTTACAGGTAGGAACCGACTTGATGGCACTTTATACAACAACTTCCTAAAACCCCCTAAATGTGAGCGTGGTGTCTGAGTTCTCTGTGGCCATTACGTTGCGTTCCTGGGCCCTGTTGAGTGGAGTGCATGGCAGGGATGGCTGCTGCCATAGTTCATAATGATCTATTCCAGAACGTGAGGGTTCTGGACGTTCGAGTCCCTAAAAATAGAACAATTCATTCATTTCCCTTCCTCATCAGATCATATTTACCCATGACTGAAAATCGCCTCTGCTTTGGTTTTCCATCAGCCAGATTCTACTATTTTTGTACCATCCTGTTAGCTGCTTTGTACAAAGTGATGCCACCTAACACTTTTTCAGACTTCCAGGAGAGTTGCCAGGGGATCCGTCTCTCCACATGGGGAGATAAGGAGGGTGCAGACTTCAGGACAAGATTTCAAAGGGTGGCTGGTGTGGGAGCCCACTGGTCCATTCTTTCGGGGATGAGTTTGCATTCGGTAGATGCAGCCTGGGAGTCTGGCTCCTCCACATCACGACAGCTCACGGTCACTGAGTGGGCTGGTGTGTTTGTGTGTTTTATTACTTTACTCCTCACCATGACCCCTGAGGTGGGTACTGCCACTAACACCAGTTTACAAATGAGTAAACTGAGGTTTGGAGGAGGAGATAAGTACATTATCCAGGATTCCATGTTGAATCAGAGACATTGCTCAGCAGGAGACCAGGTCTACTGGCTCCAGCGTTCCGCTCTGAACTCCAACCTTAGGGTTCCCAGAGTGAGTCATCAAGCTGGCCTGATGTGTGAAGAGTCAGGCCTGAGGACATCCGAATTGTAGGTGCCGTCCTTGCCTTGGGAACCCAATTTATAGCTTGAATCTTGATAACTCTCTGGTTCCTCACCAGAGTCCCAACATCTCAAGATGGAAACCAGCAATATTTATTTCCACAACTCACCTGTGCCCAGGGACCCAGATCATTAGCAATGGGAAGGCCTGCCCAAACAAGTGTCTTCGAAGAATGTTTTTTGTTAAATTTTCAGATGCTTCTTTTGCTGTGTTTGGTTACTTCTGTTGAGAGTTATATATCTGTTTTCCTTTACAGTCCAACTATCTAAGTTAATCTGTCTCATTCGGGAATAAGAAACTTTAATGTGAAAATCTGATCCTATTGAGTAGCCAGCAAGTGTGAAGTTCAAAGAGCTCAAAAAGAAAAACAAGTGTGATTGAAAGACAGTGTTGATACTTGAGGGAATCCATTCAGTAACAGTTCTTCCTTGCTTTAGTTTTGACCCGAAGACTAAGAAAGAGGAGTAAGACAAATGAGGACTGTAGTTATCACCTCTATTACTGATGAAGCTGGTCTTAAAAAATGGGGAATACTTCTGCAGCAGGGGGGAGCTCTAGACTGAGGCTCACCTGGAGCTCCCCACTCTTAGACAGTTCAGGCCAAGGGCCCGACTCCTTTCCCCGGGGCAGAGGTCACCTAGAGGAGCCTGTTATACCCTAAGAGGGAGGGTCTGGGTAGCATCTGCCTAGATGGTCCTTACAAATTCCTCATTAGATGAACCAGGCTGGTACCTCAGTGTTGAAGTGGGGGAGGACTGTGTGCAGGCAGGAGTGTGACCCTAAAGGAAGTGGGGGGAACCTCAGGAAAAGGGAAGAGGCATTCTAACCAGTTAGAAGGAGAATCTAAGCCTTTCTTCTCCTTTTTTGTGAATTAATTTGATGTGTGTACTTTTAGTGCCAATGAATATGATGCTATTCACATAAATTAACTTACTTGCATTCTGTTTACATTTTTAGATTCTTTGCTATCAGAAGACTTCCTTCTTTGGCGGGAACTGCATATCCATGATTGATTACCTCCTTTGGCCCTGGTTTGAACGGCTGGATGTCTATGGGGTAGCTGAGTAAGACATTTGGCCACAGGGTAGTGAAGGCCTGAGGTCACAATGGGTAATCGGTTGACATTGTCTGGGTGCCATTTATCCCCCTCTGGTTATGGCAACATGTCCAGGAGCCTGGGTGGTACGGTGGTCAAGTTCTGGGCTACTAGCCCAAAGCTGTTTGAACCCACCAGCTGCTCTGTGGGAGAAAGCGGCCACAGTCTGCTTGTGGAAATGTTCCATCTCTACAGGGCTGTTCTACTCGTCCTGCAGGGTCATTATGAGTCCGAATTGACTCAGTGGCAGTGGATTTGGATTGGATGTTTGGATGTGTTTTGGGATGTATGTGAAATGAAATCAGGGTTTTAAATCAGTACCATATGTTTCCTGGTTAAAAAGACCTGTGCTTTTATACCACTAACTGCAGGCCCAAAGTTTATCCACATTTCTGCTGCTAAGACCCTGTGTCCAAAAGCCAGCTCCCCTGTAGGACTGGCGTGCCCACTGATCTAAGCACCCATTCAGACACACTGGTCATGAAAGCCAGCAGAGAGCCTCGTAACGGTTCTTCTGTTTACAAGAGAGCGTCTGGGGGACTCGGCAGTCCTCAGCGTCACTCTGCTTGCTTCATGGCCGTGATTTGGTGCCATGTCTGCAGCTCCTTCTGGCATCCTGCAGACACCGTGTGCCTTAGTCACTTCTCATTCCCCTGTGGGGTTTCCCTGAGGAGACATGCCCTTAAACCAGATTTTAAAAGCAATATATGCTTGTCTTAAAACATACAAAACAAGTCATGTCACCAAGCACCACAGAAGTATAAGGACAGTCACAGTTGAACCAGTAGTCATCCAGCTGATCCCAACTCACGCCAACCCCGCAAGGTCAGGCCTTTGTTCCGGGCACCTGTGTGTGAACTCAAACCTCTAACCTTTTAGTTAGCAGTCCAGCACATTACCTGTTTAAAAGAAATCACCTGAAGACTCAGGGAGCCTGTAGCCAAAGATGAAGAAAGTTGGATTTGTTTCTTCATGTGCTGTAATCCCAGTTGACAATGCAGTGGGTGCTGGGTAATTCTGGTGTTGGGGAGTCTGGCCCCACATCATAATGCCAGGGTTTGAGTCTACCCCAGAGTTGTCTCGTGTGCTTTCAACCTTAGTCACCTCTGAAGGAAGATCAGAAATCTCATGTTAGGTCATAAACCCCAGACTCAAACCTAATTCTAACAGAAACATCTGAGAACACAGGACACAGCCTAAGCTAATGAAACCTCCCCTCTGAGCCTGGCTTTCTCACTAACTAGTTGAACTATCTTTTTTTTTTTACTTTTTATTGTGAATTCAGTGAAGGTTTACAGACACGATCATCAGTTTTACATTTAACAAATCTTACACTTTGTTTCATCTCAGTGATTACACTTCCCTTCATGCAACAGCAGTTCTCCTACTTCCTGCCTGGGCCTCCTATTTTCAGATCACTGTCCTTCCCATCCCTTCTCAACTTTGTCCTTCGGTAACTTCTTGTTGTTGTTATGTGCCATGGAGTCGGTTCCGACTCATAGCAACCCTGTACAGGGTTTCCGAGGCTGTAAATCTTTACGGGAGCCTCATCTTTCTCCCACAGAACAGCTGGTGGTTTTGAACTGCTGACCCTGAGGTTAGCAACCTGATTCATAACCACTACGCTACCAGAGCTCTCGTACCCTTTTTATTTTGAATAGTCGACCATTCCATGGTGAGCACTATATCTATAGTGCTATATATCTATCTACTGTTTGGCTGAAAATTGGGGCACTAGGGTGGGTTCCATTCCAGACCCAAAGGGTAGTGGAGAGCCATAGTCTTGAGTTCCTCTAGTATCTTTCTGACCAGTCCAGTTTATATATATATATATATATAATCTATATATAGTGAGATATATATTCCTGTTGTGGTGCTGTGGGTTAATGTGCCAGACTGCAAAGCCATTTGAACTGCAAGGTCGGTAGTTCAAGCTCACCAGCTGGTCCTTGGAAACCCTATATGTGTCACTATGGGTCAGAACCGACTCTATGGTACTTATCAACAACAACAATATAGATTCACTGTATCTGGGACCTTCTAATGTGTTCTAATGTGTTCCCTTTGAGAGTAGTTGGTCGCGGTAGCCAGGTACCGTCTAGTTCTTCAGGTCTCAGGGTCCTGGTAACTGATGTTCGCCTGCTCCATTGGCCCATTGGACTAGTGGATTCCAAGCATCTTCAGTTTTCATCACTCTTCGTTCTTCCACACATGGAGAGACCAATAATTGTACCTTATGTTCAGGCCAGCTGTAATGACTTAAACAAGTTGCTTTCATAATCTGGATTTCTTAATCCATCTTTAGAAAGGCTCTGACAGCTCCAGTATTTCAAGGATTGATGATTGTTCTTAAAAAAATGATTTGGAAATTTGGAAACTACTTGTCTTTTTTTTTTTAACCCCCTAAAAGTGGCTCTAAAGGATAATCACTGGACTGCAAACCATAAGGCTTTCTCCTCTGGCAAAGATTTACATCTTCGGAAACCCTAGTTAGGGTCACTGTAAGTTGGAACCAACTTGATGATACTTAACAACAACAACAACAACAAAGTAAAAACTGAGAATGACAAGAGAAGAGTTATTTCAGAAACTTGTCTTTTTGTTGGTAAACAATGAAGTACAGACACTCTATTTCCTGGGCTGTCAGGGTACAAGTATTTTAACACAAGTATTGTGTGAAAGCCGCAACTCCTCCTACAACTCAAAAACACATACAGCTATTCAAAATCTATATTCTTTCATGAACTGCTTACTTGATAATGACCACAATGCTTACTTGATAATGACCACAATGCTTACTTGATAATGACCACAAGCAAACCCATTGTTTTCTAGTTGAGTCGATTCACCCCAGCCCCATGTATTACAGGGTGGGACTGTGTGCCATAGGGTTTTCTTGGCTGTAATCTTATTCCACGTTAATTTATCATCAAGTGAGCATAAAATTGTTTCCTAGGACTGTTGTAACAAAACAGATCACAAACTGTGTGGCTTAAAACAGCAGAATTTTATTGGTTCACAGTGTGGGAGGCTAGAAATCTGAGGCAGGATGTTGGCAGGGCCGTGTTTCCTTGAAGCTCTAGGGAAGAATCTTTCCTGTAGCTTCCAGTTCCTGGGGCTGCCAGCTATCCCTGGTGTCCTTGATGTGTAGTTGCTCCCGCCTTTGCTCCATGATCACACAGCCTTCTTTTCTGTGTGTCTTCACATGGCCCACACCAGCATTGGATTCAGGACCCATCCTAACCCAGCTGCAAAGACTGTTTCCAAAAGAAGTTACATTCTGAGCTTCCAGAAGGACAGGAATTTTGGAGGGATACTGTTCAACTGAGTACAGAGCAACATCATTTCCTCAGTCTGTATTCCCCAAAGAAATCCTGTTTTTTAGTATCTTGTAAATCTCATGAGTTCTCCTGAAACACGCCCCCCTCCCCACTACAGCTATGCTAACTCTTCTCTCCTGCCCTGCAGCTGTGTGGACCACACCCCAACACTTAAGCTCTGGATGGCAGCCATGAAGCAGGATCCTGCAGTGTGTGCCCTTCTTATAGATAAGAGTACTTTCCTGGGCTTCTTGAATCTCTACTTTCAGAACAACCCTGATGCCTTTGACTATGGGCTGACTTGTTGAATTTGCCCCTTCACCATCCAAAGTTCCCAAGCATGTTGGGATTCTGCATCAAGGATTGTTTAGAGGGTCAATCAGTCTCTCTTCATTCTCTCTGAGGTTCCCAATAAAAATGGAAACAGGAAATATATTGTTTCTGAAAATCATTTGTTTTTTTTTTCTCCAGGCCAGTGCTAATAACACATTTTGGGAGACTGACTGCTTCTCCTACTTTTTGACCTTCATCCCAGTTTCTCCTCCAGACGGTTGGTTGGTTGTTGTTGTTGTTAAGTGCCATTGAATCGATCATGACCCATAGCGACCCTGCATAGGGTTTCTGAGGAGCAGCTGGTGAACTTGAACTGAGGTTCAGGGGCTACCTATTGTTGACACTCGTTAATACAGATGGACACCCTACAAAGACCTCCCTTGTGAGATGAAAGCTATAGATAGAAGACAAAGAAGAAAACACTCTAATTCCACATGTCCTCCATGTGGCAAGTGAAAGCTGCTGTCCATGTGGGTGTACGATTCTCATCCTCTTTCAAACTTTGGCTGTGGGTCTGGGAGACACCAAGGGTCTTATGACTGGAAAGAGTTCCAAAGCAGGAAATGAAACACCAGTTCATCACCTGGACCCAAAACCTCACAATTGGACAGGTGCTGTCAGGGCTCCGGATGTCTCACAAAATGTTCCAAAGCTGACATCCTGCCTTAAAAAATACATGCCCCAACCCAACCACGGGCAAAGGTCACTATTGGATTTGCGTCACTTTCTGTCCCCTGGTTCAGTTTGTCCCAAAACAAAAATGCCTTTGGTTGCCTGTGTTGTACCAGTCCTGGGTCATGTATACAGATGACAGGGACATGGGTCTACTCACAGGAGTCCTGATCTCTCCATTCAACTGGTGGCAGCTGATGCTGGGATTTGGCCAGGCAGAACGGCACCACTGGGGACAACAAAGAGCTGAGAAGGGTGGGGAGTGAGGTGGCATGTGCTTTAGACTGGGAGGGTCTGTCACCTACCCTATAGGAGTGGGACTGAGTCTATCCAGTGGCATATTTCTTCAGTGTCTAGATAGTCATCAACCATGATTTCTCAGCTTGTTCCAGGAGGCCTCTCTTCCCAGCCTGCCAGCCATGCCAGGAACCCGCAGGACTGGTGCTTTCAATTGTCTGTTCTCATTGCCCCTGCCTGATGCAGCCCAAGCCCTCCTTTCTGCCCTTGTCTCAGCCCAGCCCTGTCATCCACTGGCTCTGGGTGTGTGTGTGTGTGTGTGTGTGTGTGTTTTTAAATGTTTTATTGTGAATTATGTGATAGTTTACATGGGAGAACATTAGTTTTATATTCATCTTATCGTATATAATTTCATTGCCATGGTTACAGTCCCCTCCATGCATCATCAAACAACCAAAGGGTATACCCTACAAGCCTGCCCCCCAGTCGCTAGCAGACAGCCCCTCTCCCTTTCTGTGTCTAAAGTCCCCAACTGCTCCAGCTCTCCATGTCATTGTCTCTTCCTCCATCTCAGGCATCCCTGCTTCTCTGGGTAGGGTCCCGCTCTCTGCTTTTCTCCCTTGATGGTCCCAGGGACCTCTGCTCCTAGACTGCAAAATTAATCACTCCCCTCCTTGCTACAAAATGTCTACCTTTACATTTCCAACCTTCACAATCAGTCCTGATAACAATTATTCACTTTTGTATCACAAGAGACCTATCCACATTTCCTTTCATCAGTCCCGCCTACACAGATTGGATACTACTCAGTGGAGAGTCTACCTTCCTCCACGCCATTTGGATCTAGAGTTCCCTCTTGAAAGCTTGTAAGCCAGTCACTTCTTGCCTTTATAGCCCCCCATTTTGGGTAGCCAATATCTAAGTTGTCCATCCCTGTCTACTGTGTGTATGGAGGGGGTGGGAATGATCCTTGCTGTAAAGATTTGTTCCCACTTTTGAGCTACTGCATGCATAGGTGTAGGTCAAGTTCATCAAATTGTATCAGATTACTCTTTTTTCCTCTTCTTTCTTCTTCTAGTTGATCTCTCTCTGATCATCCAGTCACGAAGCCAGGTCAAGTGGGTGTTATCTGCAAGTGTGGGTGTTCTTGTGCACATGCCCTCACTTCTTATCAGCTGAACACTTCACTCTCCACTTTAGTCCTCTGTGGCTTTGTCACTGACTCTGGGCCCAAGAGTCCCCAGGTCTTGCCACACTGCTGGCCAACCAGGTCTCCACCATGGTTCACAGTAGTCTATTGAACATTGTAGAGCTTAGCTCGCAGCTTCATTGCTGTTTTTCCCTCACTTCTCCTTATCGATGACCAATGTGGTCACCAATCAGAGCGTGTATTCCCATTGAGTCTTCGTCTTGGAAGGGGGTTTGCACTGAGAGGATCTGGGTGTGTTTTGACCCATGTAAACTGTTACCAGGTATTGCTCCCAGCCAGTTGGACAGAACCAAGCCTGCTTGGTGAGGTGGCCTGGTCAGCCAGAGCAGGCGCTGCATGACGGGCTGTCTGCTATGCCATCTGCTCAGGATGTGGTGCCCTGTTGCCATGGCACTGAGCCAATGCAGAAGGAGGGATGTGAACCACTATTTCCCGGGGTCTTTGTTAGGGAAGAGACATTTTCTATGGCTTCTGGTAGGGCTTAGAGGACTGAGGAGCCTTTGTAGGTAGAAGTCTTGTGTGAGAGAGTGACATGGGACCAAAGTTACTGTTGATTACAACCACTCATGGCATATCTCTGGGTGGCCAGAACCATACATACTCTCATTGGGGCTCCACATACATACTTGTAGAGAGAGCAGGCAGAACCAGATACTGATGGATGGAGAAAGACTGCGGCAGGGAAGGCTTGTAGCCTGCTGGTCTCCAGCCTGCTTTGGGATACAAGTGCCTTTCAGCCAGGTAGTCTCAGCAGTACCTTCTTATGTTCCTCCTCCTCCTCACTGAGTTGTCATCCACGTGACCCTCAGAGACCTGAGTTCTCAACCTCTGGGTGAAACCAGAAGGATTTAGCCTGGAAAACAGGGAATGAGGCAGTGAAAACAACGCTGCAGGAAGAGCCCTGGGGTAAGGGGGTGGGTGGGTGGGCAGGAATAACTCATGTGAGTTAAAAAATAGAATCATGCAAAAACTGGGAAGTCCTAGAGGTGACCACTTGTACTAACTGGTGTATCTTTTACAAAAGCCTTTTTAAACTAAAGGATTTCCGGTGAAAGCCACGCTCTAGCTCCAACAGATTAGAAAAGAGGAATTTACTTTAAAGCACAGCATAGAAAGAACTTCACTGTATTTGATACTGTTGTCATTAGAATCAGAAACCAGAGGAGGGTGTATGAATTGTCCTTTCTTGGAGGCTTCAAGCTAGAACCTGGACTGAGTCCAGTTACATCCTAACAGGGCAGTGGCGACCATAGAGACAGTTGTCCTTTCTAGCTCTAAAATTCTCTAATCTCAGTAGCTATGCATGTTACAAAGGGATTGAATCTAGATTATAAGACACAAGCTAGTTTCCCTTTCAATCCTGCAGGGACCACCTGCATGTGCCCCCCACATTGCCCCTGGTAGCTGTGGTGGTGAGGGCGAGTCTCTCCCTTGATTTCTCACTTTCATGTCTCCCCTGGTTCACGTTTCCTTGTCAAAGTCCTGGGCCTTCTTGGTGGAGGAGAGACTGCCCTTCTGTGTTAAGAACCAAGCTTGACCCTCTAGTTGATGTCAGCCTGGTTGCCTGTGTTACATGAAGTCCTTTCAAATAACCACATATCCAACCCAGCAGAGTTCTCATTGGTTAGTCTCCAGACCCTGTTCCCTCCACAGACACTAAACACTGTGCCCACCCAGGAGATCCACTTCCATTCATCTCCATCTGTGAGCTCCTGGAAGACTAGCCATCTGGTCTTTTTAGAACATCTTCCTCACATTTAGCTCTTGTGCCTTTAGAAACTGTCCTCTTCAGTTTCCTCCCTTCTTTTTCCGAGCATTCCCCTAAACCAACTTTTCCTCTTAGAAAGTTCAGCTCATAAGTCTTCTGGCACAAATTGATGCAGGGTAACAATGTTTAAGACTAGGGCTTTGTGGTCAGACATACTGGTCTCTGATCTTGGCTCTGCGGCTCATTAAAATCCTTGGGCAAATTGCTCAACCTCTCTGAGCTTCAGTTATTTATCTGGAAAATGGAACCATTAAGAACCTGTTTCACAGGGTTGTGGGAGAACAGTGAGAATCCATGGAGAGCCTTAGTCCTGGGCCAGGTGAGTGCTCGGAGAGTGGCAGGCAGCCTGTCATGCTGAGGTTCTTGCTGATGGTCAGGCCTGTGTTCATCCCCCCATTGCTTTGTGGGAAGAGGTGTCTGACATTGCATGCATCTTGACACATTATTTTAGAGTTGTTTTCTGGTTGTTTCCTGTGTAAGGACTTAATCTCCAATCAGCCTTTGGAAACTTGAGTTCTTCTCCCTCTTCCTTTCCCAATTTTTCAGACCCTGAGGTCTAGTTTAATACTGCAAATCATGAACTCTTGCGATGTTGTTGATGACAAAAACAAATTTCCTTCTCCTGTTATGGAGGCAGCATCAGTTGGGGGGCTGAACGGACCATGAAAGCTCCCCAGGATCTGGGTGCTGCTGGCTCCTGGCAAGGCTGATTACACATGGCTCCACAGACAAGAACTACGGGACTCTCTGCCCTCCCCTTTCCTCTCAAGGATCCATCAGGAGCACAAATCCCTTCACAGATGGCAAGGGTCCCCAGCCAACTGTGTCATTAGAGGATGGCCTTCTTCCCATTCCCTGGTTTAGGGAGAAGAGCCATTTCCAGGCCCGTCTAGGGTGGGCCAGTGCGGGTTCTGTCTCTGCACAGCCTGCCTAGAGAACCCCACGTAGGAGAAGTAGACTCTGCCCCAGCTTCCGAGGAGAGCAGGACTAGTCAGGGCCTGATAAGTAAGAAGATGGGTGTCTGTTAGCAGGGGCTATGCCCCGGAAGTTTGAAAATCTCTCAGAGGATGTATGTGTACAGGCCTGTC